TAGTGAAAAGTGGGTGTTACATTGTACAGTGGCATAATGTGCACCTCAGCCTACCCGTCCGGGGATATAAGGCGTGATGTTATGTATGTATGTACTATATTTTGTATTGCTTTAAGTCTTTAAAATTAATAAATAGGTTACCTAACATGCCTGACTATACCTCTATTAACAACATCATTTCAGTAAAAGCGATTCTATAATAGATAAGTAACATAATATTATAACATCAGTTCTAAATAGGTAATTGATTTTCATACTTCCAGATAATTGCGATCACAACCAGTATGGTTCTCGGAAACTGCAAAAATATTTTCAAAAATGTGAATGTTGCAATTCAACGCAATAAACATGTTGAATATCGGAGGTTCGCCGACATGAGAGCACGGAGACAACTACAAATTACTCGACGGACGTACGATTTTGACAGCACTCTTTGTAAAACGGTCGGTGATAGAGTTCTGTGTGGATATAATAAGAATGTGGGTACACCTGAGAGTTTAGTCGACGACACAACGGTGTCACTGCCTGGTGGATGCAGGATCAGAAAAGGAAGAGTTGAGTGCGGGTATGAGAGTCAACCACTACACAATCCGACATCACCAGCTTTGGATGAAACGCGAAAGAAAATAAAAATATTATGATAAATGTTTTTAGCATTTGATGCTCAGTTTGCAACTATATAGTGAAACTAGCTGTTGCCCGCGACTTCGTCCGCGTAGATTAATGACTTCTGACAGAATTAACCAGAATCAATTCAGTGCCCAAGTAAGACTTACCTATTTAGAAATGATTTATCGTAGTTTCAATAAATAAATAATCCCGCAGGGATCTTACCAGTACAGTGCCCGATCACGTAAGGTTTGAGTAATAAAAACTATTCTATCGACTATTGTTGTACCGAATCTCTCTAGAATAAGTTCAGTGGTTAAGAGTTAGAGAGTCCTGGGGCATTGACGCATAGTTCCCGTTCTCGTGGGACATCTGTGAAAAAACTATCATACGTTACCCAGGTCCTAAATCATTGTTTTACCGAATGTAATTCAAAAAGATTCAATGATTCTAAATTCAACGGCTAAGAAGATTTATACAAACTCTCATTCCCTATTTTATCCCCTTAGGGGTGGAATTTATCAAAATCCTTTCTAAAGAGAAACCTATGTATGTATACTTTGTATACTTTATGCATGCAAAGTCTCAGCCCGATCAATTTAAAACTGGCAAAGTATCATACAAACTTTCACCCCCTATTTTACCCACTTTGGGGTGAGAATGTTCAAAAACCTTTCTAAAGGGACGTTTACGTCATAATATCCATCTGCACGCCGAATTTCAACCCGGTCGGTGTAAAACTGACAAAGCTTCATACAAACGTTCATCCCCTATTTTACCCCCTTAGGGGTGGAAATTATCAAAATCCTTTCTTAGCGGATGCCTATGTGATAACATCTATCTGCATGTCAAATTTCAATCCGATCGATTTAAAACTGACAAAGTCTCATACAAACTTTCATCCCCTATTTTACTCCCTTGGGGGTGGAAATTATCAAAATCCTTTCAAAGCGGATGCTTACGTCATAACATCTATCTGCATGCCAAATTTCAACCCGATCGGTTTAAAACTGACAAAGCCTCATACAAACTTTCATCCCCTATTTTACCCCCATTGGGGGTGGAAATTATCAAAATCCTTTCACATCGGATGCTTACGTCATAACATCTATCTGCATGCCAAATTACAACCCGATCGGTTTAAAACTGACAAAGTCTCATACAAACTTTCATCCCCTTTTTTACCCCCTTGGGGGTGGAAACTATCAAAATCCTTTCTTAGCGAATGCCTACGTCATAACATCTATCTGTATACCAAATTTTAGCCCAATCTGTCCAGCGGTTTGGGCTGTGCGTTGATAGATCACTATGTCAGTCAGTCAATCAGTCAGGCAGTCAGTCAATCACCTTTGAATTTTATATATATAGATTGTCAACAATTTTTCATGATAAGACATTAAACTCTTTGACGGACTCTTTAAAAACAAATGACAAATTAGAAACTGCCACTGATAACTGGTCAAGTGTTACGCAGTTTTTTTTTTACAGATTAATTCTCCACTGACTTTTGGTCCGTGCCCTTGTTATACAATTTTTTGTTATTACATTACGTCTAATCTATTTGTAGAAAGTAAAGAAGGTACCTAATTACATACTACAGTTAATCACATCTATAATTATTACTAAAAGTATAAATTACATAATAATTAGGCATTATCTATTTATATTTATTTCGATGGCTCTACGAAATCAGCCCACCAACAAGATGGAAGAGCCGACCTGACCCAGCAGAAGGACCCGTTCACGAGTATGACGTGTGTGTCAGCAATTGGTCCGGTCAACCTTTTTAATGGGATCGGAACAACCCAACACACAGCGCCACCAACTGTAGGACATTTATGTGTGCATGACGCCTCAACCCTTGCTACGTTGGCAGACTTCAATAAAGCCTTTATCTTTATTGAAGTGTTACGCAGTTTAAAACCAACATATTACTCCTTTTTACAGCCACCATTAATATGATACAACCTATTAAATATATTACCTAACATGGAACATAGAAAAACTCCTGTTGTTTTTATCACAGCATTAAACTCTTAACGCCTGCTAAAAAAAAATAGTTTAAAATCACGTATCTTAGGTTTGCTCAAATTTAGTTGATAGGCGTTCGAATCGAGTTTGTGTAAGTATAGAATATTATTTCATATTGATTCTCTAATTAGGCGATTACTTCAAATTTGAAAATTATGCACATTGGGCCCAATGGTTGGGTACACCGTTACCGGTTATGGTGTAACGTAGATATCACAGATTCTATTCCTGTAAATTGTAACTCTTTATCTAAATCCATATTGTGTTAAAAAATAAATTACAGTAGATACCAAAAGTAACTGAAGTTGAATATAATGCATTTTTTTTTAAGGGGGGAAAATCATCGAATGACTTCTCCCGCCTGGATGAGGCGGGAGGGAGTGTCAGACTCTTACTGACTAAAAACCACCCCGTTCCTTCTCCTGCACGTCGAGCAGGAGCCCCGGTTACCCGTTAGGTTCTCCGCGACGAATATAGTGCATAACTTCATTAACACGTTAAACGCCATGGGGGTCACCGGTGACTGGCGTTAGCGGAGGATTTACCTCTAACAGTTTGTTTGGACGGGGTTTTATCCTAGCTATAGGACATGACAACCCCATTGTGTCATAACTACAGTAGCAGGAGCAGTAGCATAACTACAACTCTAATAAAATTAAAAAAAAATAAAGGAATAATAGGGCGACGTCATGAACCAAGGTACTGTGGGAGCACTGAAAGTAAACTGCAAAACATCTTTGCTTTCTTTGACGTTTCTTTGTTTTCTTTTTTAATTTGTTTTTAGGTGCCTAAATAATGTCTTAAATATATAGTTCGAGTATGCTGGTCTATCAGTTCATTCCGTATTGTATTCATATTAGTCATTGACTTGTCATTGCATTTAAATATATTTTCACATAAGGGTATGTAAAAAATAGGGTAGAAAATGAAAGTGCTAGTAGAAATAACATCTGTTATTACAAACAACTTTAATAAATTACATTAAATAACTTAAATAAATAATAACTTACATAATAACTTAATTAAATAACTTAAATAAGTACATAAAAACAATTTAAAATTAAAATACTGGCATAAAACGTACATCTAGTGATGTAAAGTAAACGTACATCTTTTAAAAAAAAAAAAAAATTATGACTTCCCAATGATGACTATCGTTTTGTAGTCGCCAGATGTGCGCAATGTAGCTGAAGATCTATTTTTTTTTTAAGGGGTGAAAATCATCGAATGACTGCTCCCGCCTGGGTGAGACGGAAGGGAGTGTCAGACTCTTACTGACTAAAAACCACCCCGTTCCTTCTCCTGCACGTCGAGCCGGAGCCCCGGTTACCCGTTAGGTTCTCCGCGACTCCGAATCGGCATCGGCCCTATTGGGACCCATCTGTGGTGGTCTGATGGCTCTTTGAGGCGCGCGCGGAACGCGACGCGCCTTACGCTCGGGTCTGTTTCTGGTCGGACGGGGAGCCACCCATGCTACCCGTCCGCAGGCCCGCGCTTACGGTGGCCGGAGATCGTCTCGCGATCCCCGACGCCCGGTGTGTCCCTCGCGATGTCTGGGTTGCGAGGAGGCAGCGCTTCGCTGCCTCACGCGTCCCGCCTCCTCCTTCTGCTGAAGGCCTAGGTACCTTCACACAATACAGTTTGTACAATAACTTGTAGTTGTTAAAAGTTAATTTATTGTGGTTTGATATGAGTAAATTCTTTATTAGGCAAACAAATCTTAAAAAAGTATATTTTATAAAACGCTTTTCATCATTATTGTGTACATAGATATACAGTTTTATCATAGCTGTTGTTCCAGATCTGGGTGTCATGTATATGTGAACTTGTATATTTGTAAACGCACCCACGACACAGGAGAAAATCTTAGTGCAGGGCAACGTTTAAAAAATGTTTTCCGTCGTGACCCTAGAAGCCTATTTTCACACGATAGTCATTATTATGTACATTTTATAGTTACTCACTTCTCTCTTTATAATTAGACAATACTATTACAAATTAATGGCCAAATTAAATACACCTAAGAAAGTAAAATAATTAAGTCTTTTCACTGCCCGAATCTGTTTTACATAATTTGTATTTGTCAACGCCATTCCATTTCTGCTAGAAGTATATCAAAATAACACCTACTGACATAATACAGTTAGTATTACCAGTAAGATATATTTAGCTGCCAATTGCAATAGTCTATCTCAATTGGGTACTTACCAACTAGACAAATTCAATACTTTTTTCGAACTGTCAAAAACGACAGTATTCTGTGAATTATGACGAGATTGTGTATTGTGACGTCACATTTTTTAGCATCAAACAGCGTACCTATTTCTTAAAAATTTGCTGGAAGAGTACTAAAATTAAGTTGCGTATGAAATCAATTAATGTAAGTATGATTATTTTTTATATTTCATTGCAATGAACAGTCGAAATAATTTATTTTTGATTAAGGAAAGTACCCAATTTAAAATCCTTCTACATCCCCGAGCGGACACCGGTATCCTCGGTCCACTCACTCCATTATAGACCTTATGTCCGATGTTTAGAGTCTATAAGTTTGAGCCATAGATAAAATAAATGATAGTATGAACCTTCATGGGCGTCGTACTCTTGTATACAACTTATGTCAAAAATCGTTGCTGATATGCATATTGTTATCCACAGATGTCAATACTGAACTGAACTGATTGGATTGATATAGGTTATTGAAATTAGTAGTAAATAAATCATTATATTGTTTGTACTATTAATGAAATATCTATTAAAAACACTAGCTGTTGCTCACGCCCCTAGTTTATATGAAAATTCGTTTCGACAAGAACTGTGAACTTTCCCGTGAAATACATTATTCATTTTATATATGCAGTTTGAATGGCATTAACATACATGTTTTTGTGAATAGTTAAATAAATAAATAACAAATTAAGTTTA